GGGGGGGGGGGGGGAGCACTGAGGGGGGGGGGTTGGGTAGAGTGTTGGGGGAACAGAAGGTAGTGGCTGAGGAGAGGGTGCTAAGGAAATTCAGGGCAGCAGAGGTTGGGGCTGAGGCACAGGGCCCCTGTCAAAAGGTGTTTTCCTTTGTCTGGTCTGGTCTTGTATTGTGTCCCCTCATTTCCCCCACTTTAAAGGAGGCTGTGCGCTTCATGCTGTGCATTATTATTCGTGGCAAGGTTGTGACCCCGTACACTGTGTTTTCAGGCTCTTCCCTCTGCTCCAGGCTGGCTACATGGGGGCAGACGCCTATTGTAGAGGTGCTGTGTGGATGTTAAAAGTGTGCAAGTGATTATATTGGTGTAAGTGGCTTTCTGTGCAAGTGCAGTGCCTGGTTGAGGACATGTCTGCGTGTACTCATGCATCTGTGGTGAAGACATGCTATGCCAATGGGGGAAGTTTTCCTCTCCACATAATAAAATAATCTCCATGAACAAGAGAGCTGTGTTGGTGGGAGAATTTTTCCTGCTGGCATAGGGCTCTGCACTTGAACACTTAAATTGAAGTAACTTGTATCTTTTTTGGGGGGGGGGGGGGGGGGGGGGACGCCAGGGGGAGAGGGTTATTCACACCAGTGGTGGATTAGGGGCCTTGACCAATTTGTGGGCTTCCCAGCACTGTAATCTGGGTACAAGTTGTGTGTGCATGTGGTGGGAGGGGTCATCAGCACCAAAACTGTGGCCTTACCTCCTGCTCCTCTTCCTTTCCCCCTGGGCTTTGCTCCCTGATCCTCCTTTTCTGCCCATTCTCCTCAGGCCCTGGCCATGTCAGAAGCTGGAATTGGGCATTTTTGACAGCTGTCCAGAGTCCAAGTTGCTGTGGGGGAGCCCTGGAGTCTCTATCTGCCTTGAATGGAGACTGGGAGCTGAGAACACCTCTCGGACCATGTCCCAGGATACCCAGCTGCAGATGGGACTCAGGGATGCAGGCTCTGGTCTAGCCTCCTGACCCTTCCTGAGGGTCTGCAAATGCACTCTTCTGGAAGATGCAGCCCTGTCTCTGCCCAAGAGGCAGCAGGAGGCTCTTGGAAGGTCATATGCAGCAAGGAGCTGGGCAAGGAGGACTCTTCTGGCATAGCTCTTGTTACTGACCTGGTCTCAGCAACCACCTACTTCGTCCAGGCTCTCGCTATCAGGTTGCCTCAGCTAGATCCCACCACTCCCATGCTACACCCATTGGGTCCCTCCTGATCCCAATGACAGTCTCCCCTGCTGTCACCTGGACTTTGTGCCTGAGGCAGCAACCACTTACAGTACTGCTCCAAATTTTGGCCCAAAGCTTGCAGTTTGGATGCCAGTGTCCACCCTTTCATCCACCTCCAAATTATGTCCATGCTGCTGCTGCTCTGCATTTGCCCTAGGCTACTATGCCCATGTTAAAAGGGAAGGGGGAGACCTGGCTCCCTCTAACCTTTTCTATCCATGTGTAGATTTTTTCCACACCTGTTCAGAATATTTTATGTGCACCAAGGCATTTGTGAATGTGGACCACCAGTAGAAACAAAACCTCTCTGTGCTCTGCTAATTAGCTGGGTGGCATCTGAATTTCTTCTGAGCGGTTGCGTAAGCATACAGCTTACAGGGAACACTGGCGAGTGTGAAATAAAATGTCTTAATGAGCAAAGTTTTAAAGTGTGTATACACATATAAAACTTTTCAGTCAGCCTTTGGAATACAGATAGTCCCTGACTTACGAATGAGTTACGTACCAAACACTTGGTCGTAACTCGATCTGTTCATAAGTTGGACCCCATTAATTTAAATGGGACCGAGCTGTTTGTAAGTGCGGATCGCGTTCGTAACTCGGGGACCGGCTTAATGGGAGGTTGGTCGTAAGGACAAATGGTCATTAGTCAATGCATTTGTAACTCGGGGATCACCTGTAGTTGTGAATAACTTAAAATTGTTATGGGGTAATTATGTTGCAGTTTTTCCACACAGATTTCCTTGCTTAATTGCTGTTATATTATTTTTAGTACAAGGTATATCTTGGTGCACATACATATATACTCATCTCCAATCTTCTCTCTGAGATGACTTCTCAATCCTGAAATGTGATTCAAAATAGATCAAATATAGAGTGATTGCTTTGTGAAAAGTGGTCATTTACAGGTGAAGTGGTGTTTTTGTGTTTTTATCATTTTCCTGTAAGGTCATTTGAGAGCATAGGATTGTCTGCTTTAACCTACACAGTTGTTATTGGGGCATTCATTGTGTTGGATGAAATATACTACATGTTGTGATCCATCGATCTTGAAAGATGTGGTGTGCGGGGTGTTGATTTTTGTAGCAGTGGAGATATGTCTTCAGGTTTGCATCAGTTTTGGGAAAGGTCTGGTGCCACTTTGAGTTTGTGTGCCTATGGAGAGTTTGCTTCTGATAATGAGCTTTGGAGAGGTTGGTAGGTTGTTTGAAGATCAGAGGATGGGGTTCAGGAAAGATTTTTTTTTTTCAGGATGGAGTCCCCATTGAGTGTGGGTTGTAATTGTCTAATGATACCTTCTGTGGGTTTCAGTGTGGGGTGATAGCTGACAACTAGGGGTGTGCAATTGGAGGGGGTTTTATTTCTGTACTGAAGCAGGTTCTCTCTGGATATAAATGACATAGTTTTAATCATTTAACTGGTTATCTGAGGGCTGGTGCAGAGTGGTTGGAGTCCCGTTAACTGGTTACCCTGGTAAGCGTGCTGGTCAGGCTAACTGGTTAACCTTTAGTAGCGGGTACCAGCTACTAAAGTACATACCTTGATACAGAAATAAAACCCCCTCTGACTGCACACTTCTTTGCTTGAAAGATTGTTTCTCTCACTATCAGAATTTTGTCCAATAAAATATATTCCCTCAGACACGTCTGCCTAGTATCCTGAGATCAATGCAACTACAACAGCACTGCATAATTCATAGAATGTACTGTTTTTCCCTTCAGGATACTACTCCTGATGAGCTGCTCTCTGCTGTTATGACAGCTGTCCTTAAGGATGTCAATCTGAGTCCTGAGAAAGTGGGAGATATCTGTGTTGGTAAGTGAGCCTTCCATCCAGAACTGAAGCTTCTGGTCTTGGGCAACTCTGAAAACAAGATTGCTCTTTGTGACCAATGGATGGATGCCATTTGTGCAGAGGTCTGAAATCAGTAGGTTGTTAATGCTACACTAGAATAGTATTAAATTCCAGTGCATCCTCTGCTGGGGGGTTGTTTCCTCATCTGTAAGGGGGGTAGGCTCTGATTTAAGAGTTTTTCTGAAAAACTGATTGTGTCTACACAATGTTAAATAGCCAGGGTAAAGGAAATACAGCTAATCAGTTGGAATTAATGTATTTTCACACAGGGAATGTGCTGCAGCCTGGAGCTGGGGCTTTCACTGCAAGAGTTGCTCAATTTCTAAGGTAAATTTTCTTCCTCTTTGGGTGAGTCTCCTTTCATTGTGCTCTCTGGCACTGAGTTCTCTTGGATACTGAGAGAAAAGTAGAGATGGGAATTTCAAACCCTTCCAAAGTTAATACCCCTAATCTTTAAACTAGAAGTCAAACCTTGACTCCTAGTTCAAAGTCCCCATTTATTTTGTCACACATTTCAGACAGCAAAGAGCAAGATCTGTTACACAACATAGTTAGCTTTTAATATATTCTCTTACATGTAATTACCAACTTCTAAACTAGCAAAACTGAAGTAGAAAAATAATTCTGGAAGGCAAGAAGGAAATTAGTAATGATGAAAAGCCTTTCACCTCTAGAGGTGAATTCAGGTTGGGTTGTTAGTAATTAAGTCATTACCATACAAATGAAGTTTAGTGGCTCTTGTGAAATGATTTGTTGACTTTTCCCAGTACCGTGTGGATCATTATCTCAATATTTTACCCCAGCACAACTGATAGTGATAACAGAGAGGTTAAGACTGAATTCTCTTTTCCCTACTGGGGTTCACTAGATGGCAGGTGAGGTTAGACCTCAGGGGTTGGGTGCCAAATTGGCTGTCAAAATTACGTAAAAGAGCAAATTCTTCTCTCTCTCAGCAAAATGACTGACCAAGTACAGTAATTACTTGTTTAACACATGACCACTTAAAACATTTTTGCAATAGCACAATTTTTTTAGGGAACTTTTTCGAATAACTTGACCGTCCCCGAAATAACACAAAAATAATCAAATGGCAGACTACTTCGGGAGGCGGTATAAGTTGGTGAAAACAGTGGTAATATGCATGAGCGGATGAATACATGTGGTCACAGCATTCCTCCACTCACTCACATGTTTATCTTTGTGTTTTAACATACCGCTGCGACTTGTGTTGCTAGTTATCTTGTGTTGCTAGATAGCGAATGTTGACGTTGACCCAGCACCAACAAAAAATTGACTTTGCCACCACCACGTGAAACGCAACCCCCACCTTTTCCATTATTTTTAATGGGAAAATTGACTCTGCATAGCATGTTTTCACTTAGCACGAACATTTTCAGAAACGCATCTATAGTGTTAAATGAGGAATTACTGTATTGTTGTTTTATCAACTACAATTGGTTCATAGCAGCATATACACACATTCTGATTGGTTAATAACTTAAGACTGGTAAATGAATAAATCATGCCATGTGTTAATATTATGTGCTTCTTCGTCGAGTAGTGTCCTCGAGGGTGCTCCACTCGAGGTGCTGGGCTCGTCGTTGCGCCGCAAACCGGAGGATTTTCAGTAGCAGTAGCCCCTCCACCGGACCGTGCATGCGCGACTGCTGCTTCCCGCCTCTCAGCTGAACGTGGTCCAGCTAGTCCAGTTTCCTTCCAACCATCCACGGAGTTAGCTTATGTTCCCCCCTCCTGTCTGAGGAATGAGGGAGATTAGTTAGTTGAGCTTATTCTTGTGTTTCTTTCAATAGTTATTAGTGTTAGTGTAGTTGTTATTGTAGTAACTCTCTCTTCAGAGAGCCATGGGAGACACATTAAAGAACCACTTGTGGCATGAGAGCCTCAGTCTCAGTATCATTGGATTAGATTATAATAATATGCATATGCACATATGTTCACACCTTAAACTTTAGCAGTTGGGATCACCAGTGTGGTTCAATTTTGATAGATATTTGGCTGTATGTATCCATTTCCTCCATGTGCTTGCCCTAGGTCTGTACAGACAGCTGGCATGGCAGACCTTGAGTGATTTGCCCAATGACCACTACGTTCATTAAGGAACAATGTAAGGATGTTAAATTGTGGTTAATTGACTAGTTGATAGGCACTTCCGCATTCCTCCTTTGAAATGTACCAGAGCCTCAGTTGAGGCTCTGGTACATTTCAAAGGAGGAATGCGGAACTCCACATGCTGCCCGGGACCAGTGGGAAGTCCTGCTAACTCGGGGCTGCACGTGAGTGTGCTTGCTTTGAAAAGTACAAGAGTCCCCAGCAGGGGCTCTTGTGCATTTCAAAGCCATGGAGCCCGGGATAATCGGGGGACTCAGAGTCCCTCGCTGACCCCAGGCTCCATACTGCGCTGCATGCCGCACAGAGCCTGGGCTGACCCCGGGTTCCGTGTGGCATTTCAGCAGAATACAGAATTCAGCGGAATACAGCGGAAATGCCGCTTCGGTGTTTCCAAGGGGCAGCCGCACAGCTGATCCCAGGCTCAGCTGTACGGTGCTGCCCCTTTGAAACGGTGAGCCAGGGATCAGCTGTGCAGTAGCTGCCCCTTTTGAAATGCCGAGGCGGAATTTCCAATGGGCAGCGCCAGGGAACCTGAGGTCAGTTGGGGGACTCCCCAGCTGATCCTGGGCTCCACATGGTATTTCAGTGGAACCTGGGATCAGCTGGGGACTTCCCAGCTGACCCTGGGTTCCACACAGCACTTCCCCGGAACCCAGGGTCAGCTGGGGTTCTGTGGAAGTGCCATGTGGAACTGGGGTCAGCTGGCCAGTCTCTAGCTGATCCCGGGCTGCACTGCGCTTCGGCATTTTAAAGGGGCAGTGCCACACATCTGAGCCACGGTTCAGCTGTGTGGCGGCTGCCCCTTTGAAATGTCACCTTGGGGTTTCAAAGCAGCAGCACTGCACAGCTGATCCCCAGCTTACCTGTACAGGCTGCCGCTTTGAAATACCCCTCCCCCCCCCCCCCTTGCTGCCTCTACCTGATAGAGGCAGCAAGGAGAGGTGGAAATCAACTCGTCAGCTGACTAGCTGATAAGCATTTGCTTTTTGGATAGTCGACTAGTCCTTAACATCGTTAGAACAAAGGCGCCCACCCAGGTTTATTGTTGACGAAGCATGGTGCTAGTATATTGTTGATGAAGCATGGTTCTAGACTTTACTAGGCCACTAATATATGTATGCCCGTAACAATGGACTAGCTCAGTAGACCACAGGACTTACCATTCATCCCTAGACCGAACAAAAATTCTCCCTCTGAAATACATCTTTATACCCAAATATAAAAAGTTAATGCTGCCCTTCTCATATAATTAGTTATTAGCCCTAACTTAGAATAATAGAATCATAGAACCATAGAACTGGAAGAGACCTCAGAAGGTCATCAAGTCCAGCCCCCTGCTCTAGGCAGGACCAATTCCAACTAAATCAACCCCGCCAGAGCTTTGTCAAGCCGAGACTTAAATACCTCTAGGGATGAAGACTCCACTACTTCCCTAGGTAACCCATTCCATGATTCACCACCCTCCTAGTGAAATAGTTTTTCCTAATAGCCAACCTGGACCTCTCCCACCACAACTTGAGACCATTGCTCCTTGTTCTGCCATCTGTCACTACTGAGAACAGCCTTTCTCCATCCTCTTTGGAACCTCCCTTCAGGAAGTTGAAGGCTGCTATCAAATCCCCCCTACCCTGTCCTTGGTCTTCCTCTTGCTTTTAATGTATTTATAAAAGGTCTTCTTGTTTCCCTTTATGCCTGTAGCTAGTTTGATCTCATTTTGTGCCTTTGCCTTTCTAATCTTGCCCCTGCATTCCCGTGTTGCTTGCCTATATTCATCCTTTGTTAGTTGTCCTAGTTTCCATTTTTTATATGACTCCTTTTTTATTTTTATTTATCTTGTGGATTGGGCCACAAGAAATCTGATGAGGTTCAACAAGAACAAGTGCAGAGTCCTGGATCTGCTTGCAATGCTCCTCCTAATGCACCCCAATATGCCATTCACTTTCTTGGCTACCAGGGCACACTGTTGACTCATATCCAGCTTCTCATCCACTGGATTCCCCAGGTCCTTTTCTGCAGAACTGCTACTTACCCATTTGGTCCCCAGCCTGAAACAATGCTTAGGATTCTCCTGTCTCAAGTGCAGGACTCTACACTTGTCCTTGTTGAACCTCATCAGATTACTTGTGGCCCAGTCCTCCAATTTGTCTAAGTCACTCTGGACCCTATCTCTTCTCTCCAGCGTATCTACCTCTCCCCCTAGCTTAGTGTCATCCGCAAACTTGCTGAGGGTGCAATCCATCCCCTCATCCAGGTCATTAATAAAGATATTGAACAAATCTGGTCCTAGAACCGAACCTTGGGGCACTCCGCTAGAAACCGACCGCCATCCTGACTTCGAGCCGTTGATCACTACCTGCTAGGCCCGGCCTTCTAGCCATCTTTCTATCCATCTTACCATCCATTTATCCAATCCACATTCCCTTAACCTCTGCTACAGCCCTGAGCCTGCATCCCCAGACTGGAGCAGCACCTATTGTGGATGTTCTCCACTGAAATGGGGAAAATTGTGTGAACATGTGTGAGTGATGTAATTACACTGGTATATGATCATTAACATAATTTAAGTCAACTTAACTATGTAGCATAGGCATGGCCTTAATCAGAGCAGTCTGACAATAGAAATTTCTGTCATTGTTAGAAGTCATTGAAATAAAGGTAGTTTAAGAAATTAGCTTTGTTTTTAAATTTGTTGTATTTTTGTGTGTAATGTCTTTCATTCCATGTCTTATATATCATGTCTTTTGTTCTAGTGGTTTTCCAGAGACTGTACCCATATCTTGTGTTAACAGACAGTGTTCCTCTGGGTTGCAAGCTGTGATCAATATAGCTGGTAAGCACATAATTATCTTTATTATGAGCAGAGAATCAGAATTTTCCCTTTTTTGATGGTGATTAATTATTTGATCCTTAATTCTCTTTTCCTTATTAATTTAGGGTTACCATATTTGAACTACAAAACAGAGGACACCCCTGAGAGGGAGTGTATCTGTATCAGTATCTACCAACTCATGTATTAATGTGTCACGTTAATACAATGTGAGTGGGTAGATACTGATACAGATACACTCCCTCTCAGGGGTGTCTTCTTTTTTGAAATTCAAATATGGTAACCCTAATTAATTCCGATACTTATTTTGTATCTAAATGAAGTTTATATAGCTTTTACATCTGGAAGAAGCTTTTTGTGAAGAGCTAATAATTCTACTCTGTGCTAGCAAAAGAAATTCAATATACAGGCAGTCCCCGGGTTACGTACAAGATAGGGACTGTAGGTTTGTTCTTAAGTTGAATCTGTATGTAAGTCGGAACTGTTCTTAAGTTGAATCTGTATGTAAGACACTGCTGAAACTGACCGCCAGTTCTGACTTACATACAGAATCAACTTAAGAACCCCAGGCGTCCCCAAGTCAGCTGCTGCTGAAACTGATCGGCAGCTGATTCCAGGAAGCCCGGGGCAGAGCAACTCTGCCTGGGGCTTCCTGTAGTCAGCGCTGGTCAGTTTCAGCAGAAGCAGACTTGGGAACGCCAGGGGCAGAGCAGCTGGGGTGCTGATGGGTTGCTCCAGTAGCGCCGCTCCTGGGTGCTACTGGACCAACCTAGCAGCACCCCATCTGCTCTGCCCCAGGCGTCCTGATTCAGCCGCTGCCGAA